ATATATATATATATATATATTTATATTCATCTCTATGTGTTTTTCGTGTTTTTCTGCCCGAGCTTCTCTTACTATATATATATATATATATATTCATCTCTATGTGTTTTTCGTCTTTTTCTGCCCGAGCTTCTCTTCTCTTCTGCGCAGCAGTTCTCTTCTTGACAAAAGATAAGAGATTGAAGGCATCTGGGCAATCGTTGTTTCCAAAGTAAGAGGAGTTGGAGGTAACTCCAGCAGAAAAGCAAAAGGGAAAGTGATCCAGGTAGCAGGTGTGATTAATTTTGTAGCTCCAGTAGAAAATCACCCCTTTCTCTTAAAATCAACTTATATCTCTGTTTATTTTAATTTTGCAGCCCAGTAGAGGGCAAGTTTTTCTTTAGAAAACGACATAGCAAACTTGAATGTTCGTGAGCTTGATCCCGCACTGCACCTGGAGTAAAGATTGATTTTGCATATCATTAATGAGCTAAACTAGATTGCCAAGTTGCTTCCCCCTATCTAGTCAAATTATAGGCCTCCTATTCCTCGGCAAGTAACGTTAATTTAAGGTCAAATTGTGTCCTGTAACAGGTGGGTCTTGCTTTAGCTCCAAGATGTGCATCGGCGCTGTGTCTGTACATGTGAAATGACAGCGATCCAATTCTGTTCAATTATTAAGTTCCATAAATAATATATTATATGCCATGCAAGTATTTGATATTCTTGTTCTCTTCTCCATGAAATTAGTTCGCTTGATTAAAATTAGTAATCTATGAATAGATTGACAATTGTAATAATACCCTGCTGTTATGTTGCAGGTCAATGCCAAGTTGAGGAAATATATGGCTATTGATAAGTAGAGGCATGAGCTAGCATTGTTAGTTAAAGCTGTTAGTTGTTGCTGAGAAATTAAGTTTACATTTTGGCTGAAAAAATGAACGTGTATTCTAATTTTTTATTGGAGAAGAAAGACCAGGATAAAAAGAAAGAAATCTAAATAAAATAAAATAAAATTGTTTTATGTTACTGAACACACACCCGTACAGGATAAAAAGAAAGAAATCTAAATAAAAATAAAATAAAATAAAATTGTTTTATTTTACTGAACACACACCCGTCGTTATTCTGTAAACTATTTTGTAATTGTATCAAGTTAAAGAGGAAAAGAGCCTCTGTTCTGTTTAATTGCTAAAGGAATAGTTAATAATAGGCTTAGGCGTTGCAACTCGAACGAAATTTGTATGTTCAGGAAAATAGATTTCTCACGGGAAATTTCATGACGACTGCTTGCTGACAACATGGCAATCAATTTGGCTAGTTACGTGGGAGATGTGCCCATTTGTATATCGGAGGAGCCAAGTGGGGGTGCCTTCATCGGAATTGCTACTGCAACTTGCAATATTTGACTTAATTCTGCTTCTGGATGAGTGTTTTAGCTTTCAGATTATGACAGAAGGCAGGCAAATGGCCTATCAGCTGAGCCAGGCCGTGCCAGTAGCTTGCCGCAAGCATTTGTGGCGACTTTTCCATATGGCAGATGCCTTCTTGAAAAGACAAACCTCTGCCTCAGGAATTAAGATAAGTTTGAGCCACTTTGTCAAAAAAAATAAAAATCAACTGTAGATAGTGAAAAGCTACTAGACAGCAGGTGAAAGGGACGGGCGGACGGACGCAGGATCACTCAACTGGCACCCCCAATCTGCATGTATCAGTGGCAGTAATAGGCTTCCATTTGCAGGTCAAGTTGAACCTATAGGAAGAAAATTTTTAATTCATATATTCTCAAGTTGACTACGCCGCAAGACATTAACATATGGGAGAAGATTATACATATACTGGAGCAATTAATTTCTGCAGTTTTGACAGGAATTTGATGCTAAGAGTCTCGTGGTCTTCAACTTATTACTTTCCTCTTGCATGTATGTATTAGCAGAAAATATAAAACGCCTTTTAAAAATACCATAGAGTTTATTGTGTACATAGACAACAAAAAAAAAAATCATTATTATAGTAAAATTACACTTTCATTCTTCGAAGAAAATTTTGTTTGTCTTGATTTGAAGGGTAGTTTTGTCTTTTTCAAAAGCCAATTATTCATTAAATATCTGTTTTTTATTTTTATTTTTTACAATACAGTAACTATTTACCACCACACTAAAAAACAATTTAACAGCTAACTAAGGATATTTATTGATTTATATTTTTCACAAAATTATACGTTGACTTTTATATTTTTAGAGTCTGAAAAAAAGAGAGACAAGAGTTTAAGGGTGATTTTATCTTTAAATATGGATATTGTTTTTTGTTAATACTAGAAATAAAAAGGTGTTTTGGACTTTTTACTCTTGATAATTATTTTTTAATCAAAAAACTATAGGGAAGTGCACATTACCTGTTAGCGCTCACACCTTTAAAGCGATGTATGTGGTTCTTCTTAGTGACCAAATCTATTGTTTTGTTGTTTCATTAGAAGTGTCACCTCTCACTCCTTATAGTGCAACATGTGATAATGATTGATGAGCAATTTGTCAACAACAGTTTTTTTTTTTCTAGAGAAAGTTAACGCATATTCTTTTTTCTTTTTATTTTTCAAGTTTGGTCTTTTTGTTTATGATTGCTTATACTTTTTGTTCATGAAATGGCATTCACAGGATATGGGTTCTTATTCAAATAATATTGGTGGTTTAGGACATATTTCTATTGTGTCACACTCCTATCAAACTTGTTTTTGCTTTCTAAAATTCATTGTCAATCTTATTATGGGTTACGTGATCATAAAGTTCATATCAAAAAGTTTCAAAGCTTTGTTGTATCTTGAAATTATATTGTTTTAACTTTGTAATAAATATAATGGGGCAATTAATATCTTAAATATAATGACCTCTACACCTCAAAGCTTATATATATATATATTCACTAACTTAACAAATCTAAGGTATTAATTTGTAACGAAGTCCAAGATTCTGGTGAATTAAGAGTTTATGAAGTTAGATTGTTTTGATAGAATAAATTTTGTTCGTTAGAAAGACAAGTGATTAGTACTTAAAAGTGCATTTTTATCATGGTTTTATATCATCATTTTGCACTTGAAGTATCAATAACTCCTTAACCAAAGCATATTTTATAATAATATATCTAATAATACTTAATACCTTTAATTTATGGTAAATGTTCATTTTAAATGCAGGCCTATCACATAAATGAAAGGATTGATTGATGACTTTAAGAACTTAAATTGCAAGGATAAAGAGATGGCCAAACTTAGAAAAGAGATGTCGGTGCAATCCAAACCGGAACACTGTTCGGTAAATGGGTCATATCTGGAGCTATATATCTCAGATTTAGGTCCAATTTATATGGATGGAAAGGTAAGACATAGGCCTACAACTTTCATATGGAGCCCAAGATCTAAAAAGGCCATTATCAAGTCCAAATTGTAGCAACAACAAAGAAGCCCGAATCTGTCTTCCAGCCCGAGCACTGTTCGGTATTTTGGCCATATCTAGAGTTCTAGAAGTCCAAATGAGCTGAATGTTTTACACAAGAAAGCTGAGACAATTGCCTACAACTTTCATGTTTGCAACTGGCTCCAGTTTTGACGTTATCAATGACGTTTTGGGCAGACAAAAGAAGATAAGGATTGTCACCAAGTCAAAAGTTGGTCACCCACTTATCAATTAGTCATCAAATCAATAGTTCCCATTTTTGGCCTATAAAAGGAGGCATTTGCCATGCATTTAGGCATCTTGGTGTTCAGATCAAGATCATGCTCTTCCTTTCTCTCTTTGTATTTTTTATGCTTTGTTTTCATTAATATTAAGTTTATGCCTTTCATTTCCTTTCCTTTACTTAGTTAACTTTTATGTTCTTATTTTGTTTATCACAAGATCTCCTACATCTTTCATTCAAATATACCTAAAATTTCTACATCTACACCTTAAGATAATAATTAGTTAAAGACAATTCATAAGAAATGAGATGAAGATGAATTGTTATGCAGATACTATATCCTCAACAATTTGTTAGATCATCTGTATGATCTTTTTACATTTATAAAGTTTCCAAAGAAAATCTAGAAGTCACTAGAGTATTAAAAAAGAAAAGAAGAAGGTGTGGACAAATTTCTTGTCATGAGATATTTTAGATTTTCAATGATTGATAATGTTTTTGTTATGGATCAAGTTAATGAGTTACATGTCCTGTTTTCTAAACTTAAAAACTTGAAAATGAAAGTTCTTAAAGCATTACAAGTTGAAGGAATAATTGTAAAACTTCTTTCTAGTTGGAATGATTACAGGAAAAAATTATTGCATATCATAGAAGAATTTTCTTTTAAGCATATTAAAAAACACTTACGGATTGAAGAGGAAAGCATAATTCATGTAAATAAATTTATCACTAACTCAGTGACAAAAGTGAATTATACTGAAGGAAATCAACCTGGTAAAAAGTAGAATGGTAGAAAGAATGGAGATTTTCTAAGGCAATAAAGCACTTTACAACTTAGGCAACCTAAGCAATTTCAAAAATAGAAAGACATTTTACAATTATGCCAATAAATGACACTATAAACATAATTGTAAGTAAAAAAAGAAGTAAGAAGATTCTAGCAATGTCCAGAATTCTCATAATGCAAATATGGTTGAACATGAAATTAGGTTGGTTGCAATGGTTTCAAAGTTGCATATTGGAATGATTACTAAACTTCATGTGGCTACAAGTATCATGTCTAATGACTAATGGTATGATTTTGGTGCAACCATTCATATGCAACAATAAAAATTATTTCAAAGATAATGAAATTACAAAAGATGGACAAGAAATTCTAATGAAAAAGTATAATATCGTAAAGGTGATGGAAAAAAGAAGTGTTAAACAAAATTTTAGTTTAGGAAAGAAGTTGTCATTGGTTAATGTCTTACAAGTACTAGATATAAGAAAAAATCTTGTATTTATAAATTTACTTTAGAAGAAGGGTTTTAAGGTTGTTTTGAATCTAATAAGATTATTTTGTCCAAAAATAGACTATTTATGAGAAAGGGTTAATTATGTGATGGAATAATCAAAGTATTAATAATAAAGTTTATGTTTCTGTTTGTATGACTTATCTTTCTTTTTCTTTATCTTTATGGCACGATCATTTGACATTTGTTAGAATTAAATCATTAAAATATATGGTTAAATATAATTTAATTTCTTATAAAATGAAGATAAAAGAACATATAAAATTTGCATTTAAGCAAAAATAATTAGAAAGACTTTTTTTAAAGTTGAAAGAAATACAAATTTATCAGAACTTGTGTGTTCTAACATATGTGAATTGAATGACATCTTAACGAGGATAGGAAATAAATGTTTTATAACTTTTATTGATGACTATTCAAAATATACTTATGTTTATTTAATAAAACATAAAGATCAAGTTTTTTAAATGTTTAAGAATTATAAATTTGATGTTTAAAACCATAAAGGAAAGAAAACTAAAATTCTAAGGAGTGATAGAGATGGTAAGTATTTTTCCATGAAATTTTCTTCATTTTATGAAAAAAATGGAAATATAAATAAAATTAGTGCTCCGTACACACCTCAACATAATGATTTGGCAAAAAGAAAGAATAGAACATTTGTTGATATGCTTAACTGTATGCTAGGAAATGCCAAGTTGCTTACTATTTTGTGATGGGAAGTTTTACTCATTGCTTGTTATATAGATAATAGAA